CTGAAGATTGCCAGACATTGTTATGCATGTTAGTGGTTACACAGACACTGCTTATGATTCCAGTTACAGCTTGAACACATTGTTAGGAAATGAAACTTCCATATTTTTAACAATTCTTATTGCAAAGCTTTATCAATGTCCAAAAAACATTAAAGCAATGGGGAAAAGATCAGAGTAAAGTGTTACCTCCTGTAATGCTGTGGCTTTGTGTCCCGTGACAAGCCGACACATGATAATATGTTCCAGCAAAATAACTTGGAAAGATGACAAGATGGGACTGCAGTCCAACACTGAAGAGGGAATGAAAATAGTTCAGGAAGTAAAGTTAAACAGGGCACTCTAACACCTTAACAACCCCCATCCAGGTACTACAGTAACCAGCTTCTCTGGTTCCAGATGGTCAGAAAAACTCTGGCACAATGATTTCTGCACAGAGGTCTTTATGCTGACGTCTTGCTGAACCATGCATGTCAGCTAGCTGGCCACCAACTGTTCAAGCTGCAACAGAAGGGATGAACACGTTTTTAAAAAACCTCTCTTGAGCAGTGAAGAATGGGAGTCCATGCTTTATGTTGCTGGACCCCTGGGATACACGACCTTGTTCCAGGTACGTGCAATCTTGGATAGACAACTGATCGGGACATTCAAGTTTCCACTAAACAGATGAAATACTGTCAGAACCTGGTAAATTCACTTCTGTATTATCCAAATGCAGCACGTAGAGTAGTAAGACTGTATGGGAAAGAATCCACTTCTGGACTCAGAAAAGAGGAGGATTCTTACATCTGTGCTATTAATCCTCTGAATGGTTTTAGAGAACTAATCCCAAAGACAGCAAGAGCTTTAAGGAGTCTGTTCCAGCAAGCAGACTGGTGTGCCTGCATTGCTGTGTCAGCCTGAGAGAAACCATACACATCACCAGGAGCTTTAACTTCCACACTTACTTTTTAGCTTTTCCAGCTGCATGAGTGCTTTGTCCGTGTATTTCTGTGCCTTCTCCAGGTATCCTGCTTGCATGGAATGCATCACAGTCACCTGCCACAGAACACAGGAAAGGCAGGGAAAAAAAACCCACAAACCTTTACTGAAAGGAAGAGTATGAAAGCCCAGAGCCAAACTCCAGAACTGAAGACAGTTCAAACTGAGTTTTGACGTCAACAATTTGGAATCTAGTTTGTTTAAAAAAACCCAGAATAGCTTATTGTCTTATCTGTTGACTTTAGCAAAAAAGTACTGCCAGCCCTGAAAAAAAAAATCAACACAACTCCAGAAATATGAGCTAGATTTTCTTTAGCTTGTGTACTGATATAATCATGTTCAGGATTTCTTATGGAGCTTCTTCAAATATTAACCTCAGTGAAGGCAATGAAAAAACTGTCATAGGTTCTGCAGACCACGTGCTATTTTCCATTGCATATGAACCATTAATTTCAAGTTACACTTTGTTAATGCTAATCACACACAAGTTCTAAAAACCATCAAGATTTCAGACCTCATGCTTAGACTGCAGATCTGCTAAATGTGAACACTTACATAATAACTATGATGCTACCATTATAATGTCATCTGAGGGTGTTGACTGCTCTTCCAAGTCTCCTAGACACTGCTATTCAAAGTCCTCAAATGCCAACTGTGGCATATCACCTGGCAACCTGTGATCAGCAGAACTAAATTTGAGTGCTTCAGATTCATACTTGCTTGTAGCTAGAGCTAGGATTTACTCTGGTGTCTAGAAACAAAAGGACACTGTACTTGGATACTGCAAAAGGACAATGCATTTAAGCAGAGAACAGGGCAGGGGGACAGCAAACTCTCCTAGCCAATGCTTTCAAATCACATTTACAAACTATTGACTATTTTAAGGCATGTGAACCCCCGCACCCTGACCTCAGTAATTTGTGCTTACAGAATGAACAACGCAGCTCCGCTTTACGAAGGACCAAGTACTAGAAAAACGTACGTGCTTGCAGGAAGGCAGACAAACTCCTTTCATTCTGCACTGTGCATTCAGTCCATATAGAGCAATGACAAACTACACAACCATTTGAGAAGTAAGCTTGCTTGCACACTGGATCATGCTCTTAATAGAGCATCTCCCCCTCACTTAGAATGGTGCAGCATCTCACTCATCCAGCATCTCACTCATCAGCTAGCAACAGATACAAAAGTAAAACAAAGCTGCTTACCAAGTAGACCAGCACACACATGTGTTCCTTGGGCAGCCAGTGAAAGAGATCAGCAGGGTTGCTGGGTAGAATTTCATCATCATGCAGAGTTGATATGGTCTGAATGCACTGCTGGAGCTGCTTCAGACACGGCTTCACGCTTTTTACCTGAGAAAGATGATTAGTATCAGATGTAGGCAACTGTCAGCTGAGAGAACACCATCTGAATATTTAGTTCAGCAGATGTGCCAAACCATAACTCATGCCTGCAAGAGCTGAGTTTAATGCATAAGTTATTACAGCAATATCACAACATGCTGCAGAACAGGCCTCCTAGCTGTATTTCAATGACCTAGCCTCATCCCCTGCAGAGATGGGTCCCCTGGAAAGTCCAGTCTGTAAAAACAGCTATACAGCTAGAACATTTCAGACTAGGACCTATGGTTTCCATGAGCATAGGAAACACGTATGAAAGAAAAGCAGCAGTATTATAAATGCACCAGATTAAGTGTTGAGTGGATCTGAGCGCATCAGCGTTAGTGCCTTTTTATTGTCCACTCACTTTGTTTCATTTTAGATGCTAGATAGAAATTAAAATGTCATGAACCAAGGGGTAGGGCCCAACAGCTGACATTCTGAAACTATTTCTTCCGTGTAACTAAAGCTGTATTTATTCAGCAAAGCAGCCATGTAACTCATAACATACCTACAGGGGAGCAGAAGATATCCCTATTTACTTACTTCTGGATCAACTAAAGTGGCACTTAGTTATTAAAATGACAGGAAAAAAAAAACCACCTAGAGGTAAATGACTCAATGGAAGACAAGATGCACAGCACTAGACCCTCTGAGAT